TCTGTCAATGCTATTGATTCGATCAATTGGGGAGAGATGAAACAAAAAGGTGGAAAAAAAGAAGATACAAACGCCATGCCACAGTGCACTGGATGCGAAGGATGCGCATTGCCTTAATTGAAACCGTTTAAATTGCAATTAATCACCCGGCGGCGAGGACGGCACGAATGTTGCACAGTTGTTGCCGAGTGGCGCAGCGAATTCCCCACAGTTGCCAGGGGGTGGGGATGCTGGAGGGATGCCCACCATGGGGCCGGGGGATGAGTGTGGATTCTCTGCCTGAATTACTGTCACCGCAGTGACTAATTTTTATCCTTTACTTTTTAGCCAGAAGCCCGAGTCTTTGTTTTAATTTGAAGCCAACCGGTGGAGATGTCGGAGTAAAAGTTGTGGTAGCCGTTTAATCGCTTTCGACATGCAGATTTAAGTTTACTCTGGACTGGAAAATGGGATGATGAGAAATGGTGGAGGGAGGGGCAGGGAGAGGCTAGGCGTTTTGATAAGTGAAAATATGGGCGACAACCACCGGGCCAGGTTGGGCGGATGAGTCTAGATTCTAAAAACACACTTAGAAAAACATGACCTAAAATTATTTAAAATTATCTAAAATTAGGTTTATAGTATAATTTCTGCACTCTTCTATTTATTTTCCTTACTTTTTAAAATCCTAAATGGAGATAGATAAAAAACAATTGTAAAATTTGTTTAAACTTCAACCACAATTTACACTTTTTTGAGTGCAAAATCCAGAGCAAGCTTCGCCCGATAAAGCACCAACCCCAAACCCCGGAGAACTCCGCCGGACGCACGCACCGGATACGGGCTGCGGATGAAGGTGTGGGCGGGTCTACGGAACTGGGTGGGGGTGTGGCTCCTTTTTTTTTTAAGTGGAAATAAATTAAAAATGGGTGGCATCGTCCTGGCTTCGAGTCTCGACCGCGTCTGCCACACGCGTCGTCGACGACGCTGTCGGCTTTGGCTTTCGGCTTTTTGGAAGGTAAAACTTTTGGATAAAACAGTTGAACTTCAAAATGTGAATTTGATTAGGATATTTGCATAAAATTCTGTTTCTGCGCCAAGTACACACAGCCACCCAGATCTCCACATCCATCCACACACCCTCCACAACCAAGTTGGCCATAAAAAAAACGCCTCACCACACAGGGGAGTGTCCTTACCAGAGTTGGAGCGTATGTTCGCTGCCGGAAACGGAAGTATATAAGTCAACCTAGATTTGGTTTAGTAGCAGTTATGCTGATACCAAGGACAAATGGCCTTTCAGTCAGAAACTTGTCGAAAGCTGGAGGAAAATGCTTTAAGGAGTGCATGAATTAAATTTCAAGAAGAGTGGTTGGTTTAAAGAAGGTGGATAGGATGTAAAGATATAAAGCTAGAGATAAAGAAGCCTTTAAAAATGTTCTCTTTATTCTTCTGGATAGATATTTTTGAATTCTATGAGTAATCGCCTTAGTACTAGCCCACTCCAAATGCAATCCTTATGAAACTCTTCTCCAGATAATGTCCCTTTTATCGCTAGATTATCCCGCCTCATAAACGCGCCCACCCCGGTGCGTCACAATTAGTCTTGGCCGTAACTGCAGCTAATAGTTTCGTAAATACTTTTGGCCAATATTTACATGAGTTGCCTTCTGACGCGGCAGCGTGTTGGTTTTGTTCCTTTTGTCTTTTGGCTTCATTGTGAAAATATTTGTCTTCAAATGGGCCATTGTCTCTGTCCGCTGTCCATCTTCCCTGTCCCATAGTTCTCCTTGAACTGCGGGGAGGGCACTTTGAAAAATATCTAGGTAGTTAAGAGTATTACAGACCTACCTATACATATAAATATTAATAGAGGTAATATTATTTTTCTTTCAGTGCACACGCATCCGTCGCCCATCGCTGACATGCGTCTGTCTTTCGCCCGACGTCTTGCTGGCCATCCGCTTGCTGGCCATATCTTGGCAGTCTCTGTCTGCGTCTGTATCTGTATCTATGTGTCTTTGTATCTATGTGTCCCTGCGTTTTTCTTGCGCTGTCTGCCTTACAAAACGTGTTCATTACAATCCGCCGCTTGCTGCTTGGCGCTGCTTCTGCTGCAGCCGCTGCCGCCGATCGGCCAAATGTGTCAGAGCTGAAACGTCATGATTAATGATGCAAACATGTGGGCCCGTCTCCGACTCTCCGACCACGATTCCCAATCCGGCCTCGAGTCCGGCTACGTCTACGGCTTGAATGCGTTTAGAGGGCAGAGACAAAAACAGCCCGGGGATAGGGCAGGGCTTGGGAACGAGAATGGGACTTGGAATGAGAATGGGACTGAGACTGGGACTGGGACTGACGGGGACTGAGACCGGGAATGGTAACGTTTTATCAAGGTAAATTAGAAGACGAGACACCCAAAATGTAAACATCGAACTGGGCAACACTTGGACATTAGGCGAAATTAGAAATTAATCCTGCCACTGCACCACAGATGGAGATACTTCCCAGAGCAGAGGGTGTTTCGGGGTCTGGGTCCGAAGGTCTTTGCGTGGGGAGTGTTTTTTTTCTCGTTCTTTTTTTTTTTTTGGAGGCGGAACTTTAGAGGTCAGGCAAAATTAATGGGAAATCCTCATGACTGACAAGTTGGAGTAATAGCGCATAGACATATCGTAGATGATCTATTCGGTGGAGAAGAACAATCGAGGAAGTCTCAAATTATATTGCAAGAAGGATAAAAATCATTAGAAAGAGGAAATGGATCCATGAATCAGTAAATCAGTCATTTCTAAGCTGACCAACATTATTAAACCTCGATAACCTCCTAAACTCCCCCAATCAATATCCAAATAAATCATCATTTTTAGTGCGCATTTTTAAAGTATGAAGGATATGCATTTTATGGCATGTTTATTTAGTTACCGATTTGGCTGATAAGCCCAGAGGAGAACAGACCTTGCGTGACACATGTCCTTTCAGAGTGTGGGTGTTGGTTGTGTCCTGTAGCCCACCAATGGCTGGCCAATTACAAAGCGACAATGCCCTGACCTCCACTCTTCTCCACAAAGACACACACTGGCACACACCACTCACAACATAGTGGTTACCGTTTTGTGGCTCGGCAGGAGCTCAGAGAGGGTTGCTGGGGGGTGGGGGCAGGGTGGGTTGAGCAAGCGATACAATAATTGCCCTGGGCCAGGGCCGCCGACCGTCGCCAGTCCTCAGCCGTCATTGTTGCGACTCTATGGGAAATATGTACACTCGAAAAAATGGCGCATCTTGTGGATTTTATACAAGAAAGTTGTTTTAAAAGGACAAGTTTTTGAAAAAATTGGTTTTTGTATATAATCTCATATTATATATTATTTGAAATATTTTAACAAATATACTTCTTAGGGCTAATACTATATCTTAAGCTTTCAAATCCAGGCTTTATAGTTATATAATAGCTTGCAAATGTTTCTTGAACGTAAAACCCAATTCAATTTGAACTTTAAAATTTTCATAGTGACTAACTAGTAGTATTTTAGTACTACTACTCCTACTAACTACAAAGTATTTATTTGATTCATGTCTTAAATGGAAAATAACATCTCTCTCATAAAGAGCTTGAGGGTTTAATGAAACTATTAGTATTAACAAAATTAATAAAAAAAGATGGCTTTCTATTTGAAAGTCCTGGGCAAAAAAAAATAATACAAATAGTTTATAAAATTATCATTTAAAATAGACATCATTTTAACAAATATTTTTCAAGTGTAAAACTGTGAAAAAATACAGAACGAAGAAAAGGCCAGAGCCACAAGAAGCTCTCTATAAAAAAAAGCCGCCATGGCGGTCATTCATTCATACTCGTGCATATGGCCGGTGCTTTGCAAGCACACACACGGATACACCGCCAGTAAGGCTAACACACACCTCTACACAGATACACCGATATTACGGACAAGTCATGCAATGGTCAGGTCGGGAACCTGACATGTTCTTTTCGATCAGACAACGACCACCACCAAAAAGCGAAAAAAATGAAAATATGGGAAAGGTGGGGAAGTAAAGGTGGCCAGTGTTTGTCATTGTGGGTATTCGGGCAAGTGTTGTGCGAGTGTGCGAGTGTGTGTGTGTGTGGAGTACCTCAATCATGTAATTATTTCCTCCGCAACCCACAAAGCCCAAAGGGAGGAAAAGAGAAAGAGGGAGGTGGTATTGTATGTAACCTGGTCGGTGTGTGTGTGTGTGTTAGGGCCAAACTTAAACTGGTAGCGTGTTTTGTACTCTCTCCCTTTTCAGTAAACAACAAAAAAAAGCAGCCAAGATTGGACTATATATATTTCTTAAATTATATGTACACACACATAAACACTCACACCCGAAAACCTGGTGGTATAAAAAACTGTTCGTGTTTTGTTACTCAATTTAATTCAGGTAAAATTTGTATTTTTTTTCTCTGGCTGTGTTTCTTTTCAACGCTGTTTGCTGATGTCTTCCCTTGCCCACAAAACAGAAAACAAACCTAAACTTTGGTCACGAACACGAAAAAGCGACGTTTCCGCTGAACCGTCCCCATAGTCTCCAAAATGGTCGCCGCTTGATTGGCTCAGTTTTTTATATTGTTTGTCGGGTTTTATGCTCGATTTCAGGGTCTACTCTAGATGATTTCGATCCACAAAATGGTCGTCACATCTCTGGCAGATCTTTTCCGCAGAAACCGAATAATTATTTGGCTAAGCAAATTTTCAAGGGAAATTGTTATACAATAATTATTAAAAATCCCATCATTCGTTTTGCGGTTTGGCACAAAAATATACTTTTTTTTGGTAGGCTGGACCGAAATTCGTATAATAAGATTTAATCAGACTGCTATAGTGCGGTTTTCGGCTTTAAATAATTAATTACCTCGAAGAATCCCTCATAACGAATGCAAACTGTGTTTCGATTTATTGTAGTTTTAGGCCAATTGGAGAATGTTATGGTTTGTGGTTGCGCAATGGGTGAAGAATAATTATTCAGCTGGCAGTACTTACTTATGGAGTTATCACCTGGAATGGAAAAGAGAAATGACAATTTTTGATTAAAAAATTTTAAAGATGGTATGCTTAATGAATTTATTAGAAATTCTCTAAAAAGTTTATAATAAACCCCTTAACATTCACTTTAAACAGTCACCCTATAAAGAAGTCATCCAGATGTAGCAAAAAATCGTCTAGTGCCTACTGAGGTGTGTAAATATTTGAGACATTTCCCCATAATCTCCATTCACCTGGAAGGAACATACTTGGTTGCCCCAAAGTCGTTGCACTCTGTCAAAATATTGGAGCTTTATGATTTTTTTTTCGGTAACAAACTTAAGCAGAGTCTTATAAACCCTAATGTATGGCCAAGAGTACATGCACAGTGTGTATTGCCAAGAAACTTTCTTTCTTGAAGTTGGCTTGTATCGAGAGTGGAAAATAATTAACCTCAAAGTTTGGTAAGCGGAAGTTTCCCAGGCGCTTGGACTTGGCCAGCACATGGAGCACGTAACGAGCGGTCAAGTGGCGACTCCAGCCATCTTCTTGTTTGGCCCCAATCCTGTCCTGGCCGGCAACTTCGTAATTGAGAAGTTTCGATGGCTCACAATAAGGAAGGACCCAACCAGCCGGGCATGTCCCAAGGAAGTGCAGGACTTCCCTCCGCAGTCTATTATGCGAAAAAGGGTGGGGCCTGCGAAGCAAAGGGGTTGGATCTCGACGATGATGTCGGGTAAAGGCAAATAAAATCATGCTGTCGGAAATAATAGCGTCTAGCCTCGAACTTAATTCCTACAGGGTTCAGATACAGACTGCTCTCCGAGCCAAGCCAAGACAAGCCAAGTTTATGCAGTTTCATAAGCAATATTTGATACTTTCCGTTCGGCAGCAGCAGCATCTGCGTGATTAGCAAATATTTTTGTTTGATAATCAGCGAACATTCCCATTTCTACATGCAGCTGTAGCCAAGCTCATGAATATGACTGAGCACTTTGTTTGGCCATTTCGAGAATTTTTCAATTAAAGATGGAACTGGCTTTAGCAGATGGAGTGCTTTTTACATCCGGTTAAAGTTTGCTCCTTGTTGGATTTAAATTCATAATATTTTGTAGAGAAGTTCATCACCTTTTTAAACAGACACTTTCCATTTAATTTAAAAAACCATTTACCTAATTGAAAATATTTTTATCCACCCATCGCCCAAATGTCTTTCAGTTTAAAATTTCTTGCTGGTCGAGTTGCGATCTCAAGTTCGATTCAAGGCAAAGCCTTGGACAGTTTTCGGAGGTATACCACTCGGTATTGCCATTTCCATTTGGGGGCTGCTCAGGGGCAGACTCGGCCCTGACTGACAGGGAGTAGGTGTGACCGGGCTACTCATTCATTCTGACAGTTTTCCCACCCACTCTCGCACACGAAACGCAATTTGTTGGATTGTGGGCAGTGCCCCTCGAGCAGCAGAGGTATGAATACACTTTTATAAAAAACTATATCTTACTAACTTTCAATATGCTTGAAGAAATGAGTTTTGAGATTTAGTTTTTGTCAGTGTACAATAACCACCACTTTTAAAGGGGAGACAGGTTTGCTTGTGGCGCCAAAAAGCATTTCTCGCAGGTCGCAAGTCGCGTGTCTCTGGGCTTTCATTTCATTTCTCTCTACATTTTTCTGTTTTTTTGTTTCTCGGCTCTTGCAACTAATTTTCATTTCCAACAGAGTGCACCTTTCGCCAGCAGACTGTCGGCTGGAAGGGAGCTGGCGGGCTGGAGCCGAGGAAATCTTATTAAAAAGTGAACAGAGTGCGATAAAATTGAATTTGCATTCGAAAGCCATTAACCGCAGCAGTCACTCAGCCTGCTATCTCCCCATTCTTTTTCTAAAGAATTCCTCAAAAACAAAAAAATCACCAAAGAATATAGAGCTCACGGTTAAGTCCTTGAACTCGGCTTTAATGGAAAGTCCAAAAAATATTATTCAAAATTTGGCTTGCCATCAAAGGAAATTATTATTTTGCGCACATTTCGCTGACAGCTGCTGGCTATAAAAATCTATACGTGATATAGAGATATCAATAATTATTCTATATATGCGCTGGGCAATAATCATGAGAGCTTTCACCCGGCTGGAAAAATATTATTTTAATTGCATATCAATTTCACGCTCTTTTGCCTTCACAACATGCCGCAGAACGCTCCACACTCCACACCTCCATTCAATCAGCAGCGAAGCAACAAATTGTTTGGAAAGCCATTTGGCCAATGATCTGAACGATGCGTTTATAATAATCACCACCCCCTGAACACACCTGCCTCCCACTCTCCGCTCTTACCTTGAACCAGCCATTTCGAATTAAAGCCATACGATTTGGGCCTATTATAAAGCCCAGTGGGTTAACTGGCCCCGTTTTACCTCTTTATGTTAGGGGGTCTATTGGTTCATAATTGTGCCACTTATTGCTATTTTTGTGGCATATTACTTCTAACACGTCCAGCCCCATTCTGTTCCAATTATGTGACTTGTATACGAATTCAATTAATAACTCCAAAAGAGTAGTAATTACAGGACTTAAACACCTGGTTCAATAAAACGTGGATATATTTTAAATAAATGAGTAAAGTAGTAGGGCTAGAGCCTTCTTTAAATGGGAGATCTTTCAGCTCTAGAATCAATCCATCACCAAAGCCAACCAGATTGACATAATTATTGCTCTTTGGATTGCTCAGCTCATCGCATGTCAATTAAAATCCCAATTTTGAATGCAAATCAATCAAGGACTTTTGGACTTTGGCTCGGATGCGCTCAGCAGTCAAGTCAACCACCGAACAACAATTGATGTATGGCCCAGTGGACCTGGTCTGGCATGAGACGATTCAAAAAGGTGGAGAGTGAATGAGATTTGCTTTTTTTGGCAAACATGTCACACCGTTTACAGATGACAAATTCATTTTTAACACGACACAAAAGTGAAAACCAAACGGAGGAAGGGAAATATGTTTATATATAGACTTGTATATAATCATCGAAAAGCTCACAATAAGACATTGCATGGCAGTTTTCCCAGAGAGGCGCTTATGTGGCCTGTCTGACATTTGACTGTGACCTCCCCCTCGACGAGGGCAAGTAGTATCCTGCAGATGTAACATGTGAACCTAGTGGCTGTATCTCTGTCTGATGGATAGCACAGATACAAAATTAAAGATTCTCCCTTGGTTCTCGGTCTGTCTGCTATTAAACGGAAGCTTAGCCCTAAAAAGGTCAAGTCCAAAATGATGGATGATGTCTTGACACTCACTCTCACATTCCAAGCAGCATCAGCAGCATCCCCAAGCTGACATCTCTCTCTTGCTTTCCGCCCTCGACGAGACCTTTTGGGGTTGCAAGGCCATAATACTTTCCGATACTTGCAGTCCTTATCACAGGTAGCTAACGTAATATCCGCTGCAGGAACAACGCTCCCGCTTGTCAAACGGCTTCATTATCTGGCCACTCATCGCATAAATAATAACTGCCAGGCAATGCTCAACAAGCCGCAAATTAAAAACTACAAGAAGCACTAAAAAACAAGATGGGAAATTTTTGAAAATTTACGAGCACCGGAATCACGTGTCAACCACGCGCGTTCTCGGTTTCAGTTTCGGTTTCATCCAACCCTAGCCAGCAGCTTTCATCGCACCTCTACCCCTCTACTGCTATGGGTACCCCAACCCATCCGAGATCCTGACTGCCGAGGACGACCTAGGACGAGGTGGAGTTTCCGCAGCTGTAGATATGATGCATGAGTCGGCGGAAAGCGGTGTCGTTGCCGGTGTTCCTGCCCTTCGTCCTTAAGGATTCACGTGCTAAGCGTATGCGAATTTAAATCTGTTTGCCTCTGCCACCGAATTTAAATACAAGGACCGAACGGAAGAAATCCTTTGGCCCCGGCGGTTCGCTGTTTGAATATAAAAAGCCACCGAAGGGAAGTCAAAAGTCGATGACAAACAGAAAATCCATTTTCACACAAACATTAGTTTTATTTAAATCACACACAAACGCACACATCCCGGCATCCCAGGGGTTATCGGGGTTAACCGGGGGTTGGGTTATCATGTGAGACTGTGTCCCGAAGTGTGTGTTTGTGTGACTTCCTTCTGGCATGTCCTTGTTGACTTTTCACGCTCTTTTAAATGCCGTTAAATATTTTACCGTTATGGCTTGTTGCTGAAACCTCTTCAAGCTTTTGGTAACATTAATCAGGTTTAAACATTGTTGTTTTACATATGCATTGAAATGGTTATTATAGTGTTATAGGGTGATAAGAGTACTTACAACACACTGTGTATACCTTGCAGGACCATACCTTTTAAACCATTATTTAAGAACCCTATTAGACCCAGAATACCCTATGATATAACCCATCGGACTGGAACCCAGAAGTCAGAATCAGTAAACCCACAATCGGTGCATGCGTGATGATAATTTATGACATTCTCCATCGTCTGGGCTTATTTTTTACATTTTTACAGTCATTTGTCTTTGGCAACACCCTCGTCTGAACCTGGCCAGTAATTACGGCAGTTCGCCCGGCTCATTGATAAGTAAAACTGTATTTTATGCAAAAACTTGGTAATTTATTAATTTATTATAGTGGTTAGAGTGCATCCCCCCAGCCCGGATCCCACTACGTTTCCACTGAAGCGGAATGCAATGCGATTAACGGCGAGTAGAATTATTCCGGGGTACGGGAACAAATAGGTGTACTTCCCCTACTTATGATAGCACTAATGCCAACAACTTAGCCCGGTCTTTGAGATAACAAGCTATTTTTATGACCGAAAATCCAATTCAAATGTTTACAAATCGCTTAAACTGGGCTCCCGGCTGATGAGAAGGAGGGCCTCTTAAAAAAAAAGACATAAAAATAAATCGCGTACAAATTGAAAATAATTTCAGATCTGATTTTATTCTGGTACGAGGGCGAGGAGGAGCATGAGTACTGGAGAGAAACTAGACAGAGATGTCTTCGTCGAAATTGCGGACAGGCGGGTCAACCACAACGGGGGGTTGGGCCATGGAAGTGGTAGGAGAATGGGATGGAGTCCCTTCCATTCCACTAAGTACACAAGAATGGAGCGTAAAAAATTTTTATCGTCGCGGTTTTTACGGAATGTGATCCGCGGCGATTAAGTGCGCGGCTTTTGTGTCATTGTCATGCCGTCGTCCTGGCCAACAGGGGGAGGGGTTTAGCGCCAGAAGGGGGTGGGTGGCCATGGCAGTTTATTTACAGGGGGAGTCCTTCCTCTAAAGCCCTGTAATGTATTCAAATTTTTCCAAGGCGAGGCCAGAGTGTCAGTGCATTCATTTCATAAAATGCTTTTCGCTCTTCCACATTTCCCCTGTTTCCACTTTTTTTTTCTTTCCAGTTCTTTTTTTTTTTAATTTAATCGCGGACAAATATTTTCATTTTTACTGAAACGCTTTTAGCTAAATGAGTGGAAATAAAATTAAATCGATATTGGTTAACTTCAAACTTTTTAAGGGAAACCCCCAAATGACCAATTGGGGAAAGTTAAAGGAAGACCCCATGGAAGGGGGAATATCCTAATGAAGAGACTTGATTTGCTTAAATGATTATTTCCTCTTTCGATGCAGTATTAAATTACCAAACTTTACAATAAATGCCATTGATTTTTAATGAATTCTTCAACGATTTTTAAAGCATTTTATTTACCAGGAATTTCTATTTTATTTACCGTGGAAATGTAACCTCAAACATTAACGATTTAATCCCCTCTCTGCGTTTAATATAATGACAAATAAGTTTGCAGATAAAGAAACCGAAAAAGCCACCCAAAAAATGTGGTAGAAAATAATAATCTTAAAATTTACTTTGCCCAGCCGCTGGCCCAAGCTTAACTAATCGTAACAGATTTTTTCCCAGTCATGTTGGAAAGGGAGTTAAAGGTTCCACAAAAAAAAGTAAAAGAAAAATATGGAAAAACCCTTCGGGGCGTAAACGTCTGCTTGGCATTATCCTGGCTGCGGCCTGCCAATTAGAACCCTTTGTTGGCCAGGCCCAAGACGCCAAGACGCACTTATCTCCATAATAAAGTCGTAACAATTAATTGAGAAGCCCAAAAACCGGGCTACCTTTTTTGGCTCCCCGAGATCCAAATCCTGACTTGACGCTGGCCCTGGAAATTTTTCATCGTTTGACGCGCAATTAGTGCTAAAAAATTATTTGACGACCGCCAATTAATTTAATGCTCGGCGACATGATTTCAAGTTCATCGGATTCTCGATTTACCTTTTTAGAGGTACTTGGGCAATGGGTTTTTTCTGGTTAAGTGGGCTTTAAAAAAGTTTATAAAAGATCTGGGTTAGGGTTTCTTTTCTGTAGGGTAATTATTTTCAATTAGAGGTTCAAGACTCAGGAAAACAAAGTCTTCTTTCCTCATATGACAAGTATATTACTGTCAAGCACACCATTACGATAAATCAATAACCTAATGTTTGATCCATTTAATATTCCTGGGAATCTGGTCTTAGCTTTCTGAGTATTTGCCTCTCCCCTGGATGCGTTTTGAATGAATTCAACTGTAAAGGTTAAAATTATAAATGTGCAAATGACTCATCATAAATAAAATTAATAAAAGGCACCGCGAACCTGGCCCCATCCTCCAAAGCTCTGACCCCGGCAGACTGCGGGACCTTCTTCATTGAGAAAAAGTACAACGCATCAACATAAATATTATGATAAATGGTTTGTTATAATCGTAATCCTCGGGGGGTAAGTTTCGAGTCGTGCCGCACGCATTTTTTATGCCATTCCACCCTTCCACCCCCTCCGCGACCCAGAATCACAAGCCAGGAGCAGGATGAACTGCGTTGGTCCTCAATGGAGCAACATATGGTCGGCGGGGTGGGTGAGGCTTGGATTGGACCGGAGTAGATGATACAGATGGCGCTGCCAATGGATTGCCGCCTTTCAATAGACGGGGCCAACAAAGTCAAATTGTTTTTTATTGGTTTATCCGCCCGCTAGCCTGTTTGTGAGGAAATCTCCACTCAGTCACAGCACTTCACTCTTCCTGCTTAGATCCTTGCAAGTATCTCGCAGATACTTGACGCAAACATGTTGCACGACAATTAAAAACTTTTCTTGCAGTTCATTACGCCTAATTAACACTTCTTGTTTCCCAGCTGAAATTTTATTGCCTCCGTTCTGTGTGTTTATTATAGCCAGCCTAACAAAACAATTTTGGAGCCAGACCCCCATCTCCATGCTCCATTTAACTCGAATTCACATGAAACTCCGTGCAACATATTAAAATTCAGGATGCGTTGCAAACAATTTGCGGCCGAGGACGAGTGCTTCCAAGAAATCTGGATTTTGATTATGATTTCGGGAGAGAGAAAGTATTTAATAATGGAGCTACAGGTCAGAGAAGTATATTTTAATATAATTGGTGTTTGGGTTTACCTTTTTATAAGCCCCAATATGTGATCTTTATTTTCGCTCCCATGGGAACTCGTCGAAAGGAGTCATCCGGAGAATCATTTAGATCGGCTACCACTTGACAAGGAATTAATTTGACAACATTAACAAATTAAACTGTTAAACCAACAGAAACACAGGGCCACTTCGCACACACCGAGATAAACAAACGGTCGCCTGGACAGACGTTTACAACATCATTTGTAATCCATATCGCTCAGCATGTCGTCGTCCCTTCCGTCGTTGCCTTTCGCTACCCCACCCACTCAGCCCAGCTCAGCTCAGATCCCAGGGAACCCAGTGTGTGTATATCCTATATGGGAGAGAAAGATGTATTGACCCTTCAATGGGATACAGTGTCGGCACTTCGGAATGCTTCACGCTATTTATTGGCTCACTTTCTCTGTGGTAGACCAGGGATCTGGCGAACCAGCGACCAGACCCGTACCCACATCAGGAGGAGGATTTTTCAGCTCGCTCCCCTCGGGGGAATTCCTGGGCCATGTTTCGTTTAGCCAGCACTGGCCACGTGTTGGGATTTGGCGGTTAAACACACACTTACACACTGTTTTCAGGGGATTAGTGTTGCTCATTTGTCAGCAGGATGCGTGGAGGGCGAGTGTGTGGTCAATATTAATTGGCATTGTATTAGTTTAAGTCAGTGCACAAAGTCCCACAAGCATTTGCATTTCTCAAGAGGAGGAGGTGATATTTCAGATAAAATAAGTTAGAGATATATCTGAAGAATTTCTAACCAAAGTATGTACGATACAAGGACTACTGCTCTCCATGTGTCAGCTATACAAGTGATTAATTGAAACTCATCCTTCCACCTGGGGATGGCTCCTCTAAAGGCCCCCGAATTTTTATGTGTATATCCCTGGGCGAGTGAGTGGAGAAATGGCGAACTGGAGGCACTGCTTTAAAATGGTGCAGCAGCCACAGACACGAAATATGAACGTATTCGCTGTGCCACAACATCACCTGAGGCCTGAAGTCTTGCAATTGCAACGTGCAACACGGCATTCCCTCGTCTGCGTACACTCCCCCCTCAATCGAAGGCAGAAAAAAACTAAAAAAAAGGGGGACAGGAAAAAATATTTTGACAAATGAACCCAAATAACAGGTTGCAATCGCTCAGAGGGGCGAACGGAAAGGGGTTTTCGAACGGGGAACTGGAATACCGGCCCTGCAACCTGGACAGGAAAACGTATGGTCGGACAACCTTGATACCTCATTTATTTTAAATGCGGCTGCCTCGATCCCTGGCCCAGCTGTAGTTTTCTTACTTTTATTTTATTTATTATTATTTTTTTTTTACTTTTCTGGTTACTTTTTCGTATTTCTTATTTCTTGCGCAAATGAAATCGACACATTCGAGCCGAGGCGGCGAAGGGAAATAAATGGAAACATTTCCAGAGAGTGGGTCTGGGACCGCTCTGCTCTCGAAAATTGTTACAAATGATCGCAAATAACAGATCTTTGCCGGCACCAGACCGAGCTGTCCATCAAAGGAGCCGAACCTTTCCAAGTGCGTGATCGAGTGGGAAAGGGATGGGCAGTCGGGTTCTGGGTTCTCCTCCAGAGTCCGGACGGGAAGTTGCGAAGGCGCCGCCATGCTGCGCCTCATTTGATGCAAGGTAAATTGCATTGATTTCTTGATTAATGACAGTTTCTTATATCATTGAGTTCACTGACAGAAAATATATTGATATAGGATGAATTTTAAATTCTAAGATTTACGAAACAAGATAGGATCTTAGGGAACAAACAAAAAACCTTTTAAAATATTCCACTGCCCTTTCTTTTCTCAAACTTGTGATCTTATTGACTTTAAAAATAATTTTTTTTAGTGTAATGTATCTTTATGGACTTACTCTGATTGTTGTTGTTGCTGCTCTTGCGGGATGTCTTCTTCTCCTTCATCCAAGGATACTCAGGCACCGAGTCCATGCCGTCCGGCGTTTGAGGGACAACGCCTACCGGATATCCGACCCCGACATTGACATTAACATTGACGCCCACTCCGCCGATGGCGCCGGAGCCAACAGGTGTTCCAATTTTGGGACTCTCCGGGCTCAGGTGATTGAGGAACTCGGCCATCGACGGCTGCGAATTGATGAATCCGCCCTCGGAGGCGGCCATCCAATAGGCCGTGTCCGCGGCCCGTTTATCACAGTTCGGAGCCATCTTGTTAACCAGCATCACCGCCGGCACCGGTGGTGCCCCCTGCTGACCGACTCCGGGCTGGCCAACTCCCACCACACCACCCACGACGGCAGCACCGCCGACACCACCGCATCCACCACCCACTGGCAGCGAGGTCTGGCCAGTTTGCACCTGCAGTGGGTTGAGGGGCGACTCTGACTTGATTTGCGTACCCATCGCGGATGTGTCCAGAGTGGTGCAAACCTCCTGCATGGCTTTGTTAATTTTTAAACTTTTGGTTTGTTGTTTGTTTTGTTTTTTGAGTTTAAAGTTTTAAATATTTAAGAATTGGGAGACCTGCAATGAAAAGGAAACTCTTGTAAATACTAGAGTGTGATACATACATGTGTATTTAAAAAGCTTTTCCCGAGGATTTCTTCGAAATTACTTTAAAAAATTCTACTTAAGCTGGATATAGTATTGTAACATTTTGTATACTTTAACTTTAAAGTAGTTAAAGTCAATTTTAAAAACTTGAAGCTGATTAATAAAGAATAAACTCAAAAGCAGAGGTGATGGCTTTTGTAAAATTTTTAAATTGTCTTTATAATTTACTGATCTTTAGAAGAGAGAATTATCAGGTATAATATTGATAAATTATAACTTTCATATACCGAGAGTTTGTAGCAAATATGTTTTAATGAAATAGCTAGTACATATAGTACATGTTTATTTGGCTTACAATTTTATAATATTACTAACTAATGAAAACTATGTCTAACTCATTTTGTTTTAAATAACTTATATCTATATTATTTAATTAAAAAAAAAAAATACATTGCCTACCATTTTCTCTGAATCGAATACGCTAGATACGCTTTTAAAGTTTTAGGTTTTATATGTTTTTTTTAGAGAACTTAGAGAATTTGTTTAGAGAACTTGTAACTATTGTCAGCACTTGGTCACAATTTTCACTATTGTCTGCACTTGTTCACAATTATTGTGGTGGCTTAACCGTTTTTATTTTTATTTTTTGTTGTTTGCTCTTAACCGGCACAACTTTCGCGATGCGGGTTTTGCGTAGAACTTTAGTGTGTCACGGGTTATCTCTGGGCCGCATAAAGAGGCGACAACCGCGACGGCAACCAGGCAGCTCCGCACAGATATGAACACAAATATGGCCACCGTTGTGTTTACTCAACCATCAAGTGCTCCGAGCGGCGACAGTTCGGGGTTCGCGTTGCTCTTTTCAGTTCAACACACACCTTTGGCAGCCATGGCGACGCGAAATGGCCACAACAGAACGTCAGAGCGGCAGAATGGCAGAAATGCGCTGCACTTACAACCACCAGAGGCGGCAACAACAATGATAACTCCCGATAATGCCAGTCACAAGTACGCGCTGTACCACGGTGCGTATGCGTAATGTGTAGAGTTTGTAGAGTCGCTGCGATCGTTGCAATGGCCACACACACACATACACCTACACCACTATTGCAATTTGTCTGAGATAGTTTTCTCCACTCACTCACACACACGAACAGTCACTTGGGCGCCAGCTGTCTCTTTCTGGCCCTCTGATAGCTGGAGGTGCGCAGAACCGGTTTTCCTTAAGGTGTTTTTATTCGATTGCACCAATGATTGTTGTTGTTGCACTTTGAGTTCCACGTTGGAAAAGTTTAAGTTTAAAATTCAAAATATTTTTTATTAAAATTTTGTATTATTTTGTAAAATATTCTTGTTTTTAAGCCACCGAACAGCGATTTTTGGGAAGAGCGAGACGGAGAGCTTCTTGAGAGCTTCGTGCGGGCCCGAGAGCTGGAGACCAACCAACAACCATTCCATCCAATAGCACCGAACGCACTGAACGCGCTGCCTCTGGGATTTTGGACCCATTCGCAAGGAGTGGCCAAAGCGACAGCCACCGCACCGCATCCATCACATGTTTTTTTTAGCCACCCGGCCGACACATGCGCCGTAGGCGGCTGGAAACTGGTTACTATGGCCATTACTCCTGGCCATTCAGGGGGGTGGAGTTCACGCACACAGGCGCACAACTCTCCGAGGCGCTGATTGGCTAGTGTGTCAGCGTTTTGTATCTTTGCGGTCGTGTCGCCGGGTGCCTTTTGTATCTTTGGCTGTCATTTCCGCAGCGGTTCTTCTGCCACTGCTGCTCTTGCCTCACTTGCTTTTTTTCCATTTCCAAAGCGAACGTGTTGCTTGTGACGGAATTTATTTGGTTTTTGTTATTTACACATTCCGCAGCAGCGACAGCCCCAGCTACAGCAGCAGTATCCACCAGATAGAAAAAAAACCGAAACAACAAGAAAATAAAAAGTCCAAGCTCCACAGAGTTTCTTCTCTCTCGCGGTGCTGTTTTTTGGCTTTTGGGTATTTTTGACATTTTGCTTTGCTCATCGCAGTTTTTGTTTTGAGCGTCTCTTCTCTTGTCTAACCATCACGTTGTCAATCTTGGTGGCATTGCTTTTTAGCCACATTTTTTTGTGGCCAACACCTCCCCAGAGCTCACTCTCGCCCTGCTTTTGGCCGCTTTTTGCATTCTCGAATCCACTCAATGCAGTCCACGGCAAAAGCGTGTAATTATGTGCGGATATAATGCACCCGAACGTCACTACAGGTGTAAAAATGTTGCTATAAATATTGCCACATGTGCGCAGGTGAGATTCTGGGAGCCTTCACAGTCAGGTCTAGCTTTCCCCCCTAGGCCAGTTCTATCGAAACATTCCCCAAATAAGCTATGACTTGCAATGATGTTAATGGTTTTTATATTTGTTATAATTATAGTTTATAATACAATTTAAGTCAACTTCTATTGTCCTATTTACAGTTTTAGAAACAAATGTTTAAGCCATTTTAAAAGTCTAACAAGTTCTGAATAAAATCGTAGTCTACTTCAAGGTACTCTTCCGACGTTGTGGATCCTGCGACCGAACTATTCGTTTCCCAACACAAGTTTGGCACAATGGGCTTGTTATATTGGTCCAATTCATAAGCATTGGGAATAAGCTCAGCTGAGTTTTGGGGAACTGGAATGGTGGGCTCAATATCAAACCAATTACTCGTCCAATTAGCCTCCATTCCGTTGATGGGCAGTTGGGAAAAGTCCATGGGAGCGGAACAGAACTCGTTGAGGTAGTCATACTCTTGATAGGGCGGTGTTATCTGACCCTGCTGCAGCATCTGAGGAACATCTTGGGGCAAGGGCGCAGTCTCGGTATTAGTATTGGCATATTGGAGCAGTCTTTCCGCAATTATTCCATCGTCAAAAACATCTTCAATTGATTGGCTGGATGGAGCAGTCGTCATAGTAACCACTCCCTTGGCCACTTGCTTGTTGGCCAACTTTTTAGACTTCATGCGACGATTCTGGAACCAGATCTTAACTTGTCTCTCGGTCAGCTTCAAACGCTGGGCAATTTCGATGCGACGAGTTCGGGCCAAGTACTTGTTGAGATGGAATTCCCTTTCCAACTCAATAAGTTGGTGGCTGGTGAAGGCGGTCCGAGATCTCTTGCATTTTTCAGTCGACTTCGTGGGGGCTAATGGAATACCTTCCAGGTTTAAATCACCACAAGGATGCATCTATTATAATAAAAATTATAATTAATATTTAATCTAAAAATGTATAATTTTTTAAAAACCTACCACAAAATCGCTGACCAAAGAGTTGTCAACAAAACCGTTTTCGTTTTCAATAAAGAACATGATTGCTGAGGAAAGTACTTTTCAAGGCTTCTGTTCGCTGAGAGGTGTATTTTTTAACTAGATGTCACTGAAGTCTAATCATTTGCTTATATACCGATGCTTTAGGTACCGCATCGGATCGTATTGGTTCCTACCTGTCCCGACGGCGAGACTTCAGAGCTGGCAGCCGGCTAGTCTGGCCTGACCTGGTAGCTGGCGCGTCTCTTTAGGCCAGGCTAAGAGCGTCCAGGATGTGTCAGAAGTTTCTTCATAGCGACAAGGTGGCGTGAGTCCTGATTACGTTTTGTTTACTTAATTATGATCTTATGAAGTCTGGAGACTCTTCGTCATTTTTCTAGGGAGTAATGTTGGTCCTTGGCATATGTCTTAACTGCAATATTATCTTTTTTAAAATGGGACATAGTCAAGAGAAATATTATTTATGCATTATGTTTTATGATTAATTAAAATATATATTTTAATAACTAAATATTTCAAATGTTGTTAAGCTACCTGTGATTGTGCTGCTGCCACCCTCTTGTAAGAACCACCTAGAAGTCCCTCCAGCATAGATTCCACCTTTCAAGGTCGCTATAACTTAAAGCCAGGCTTGCGAAACCCCAATCCTGCTAATCAGGTAGATATCTACTATGAACGGAATTCTGTTGGTTTTCCCCGGGGTTTTCCAAGTCAGTTATGAATATCTAGGGGTTGAACTACCTGCTTAGCAACCGAAGGGGATCATGGCTGTCCTGACCCTGATCCCTGGTCCTAAAAAGGGTGTCACCGTTACTTCAAGCTAATCCAATCACCCGCTATAAAATCAGATATATCCGCGGACCTGGGCTACGTGCTACGCGGCATAGATTTACGATCGAACAGGCTTATGCAAAATAACACTCTACTTGGATCTGGAGTTTTCTTAGGATACGGAGTCCAACTTAGAGAGGAATCTCTGAGAAGATGATCTGATCTGAGTTTTAGGATATCCAATAATCCAGTACAGCAAGCTGTCGAGAAGATTCACCTATCCTTGAGGGAAATGGTCATAAGCTATGCTTGTAGTTTAAGCATAGTGCTCTTTAAAATTTATTCAGTTCACGTGAATTGATAAACTTATACTCCACTCAGCTGGTTGAAATACAAAGCCAAAATGAGCACCATTTGGCCAGGCCAATTTGGTGGACAACATGGCAGGCTCCAGCTCAATGTTGGCTCAGATAAATTGGTGTCATCACATCATAAAGTAATTTCCAGCATATTGAAATTTTCTTCAGCTCCTCCATCTCGGCCAGCGTGTCGTGTGTGACACATGAAAGTGGAGCAGGATGAGGACCCTTGGATCATATTAGATTTTCCATGTTTTGTGAACAATATTTCATCGTCAGCTGTCACAGAGTCGTCTCTTTTTATTAGTTATTTGATTATGCCAATAATAGAAACTTGTAGAATTTCATTATCGATAAAGTTTTGCTATCAAGGGAGTGTGTGAGTGGATAAATTGCACAAATAAATTGTTCAACAAATCGAAAAAGTTACGAATGAGAAATGAATTCATATGTCTAAGAACTTTTTTATTTATTTATTTATTTTTTTTTTTAAATAATATTATTCATTTATACGCTTATATGAACATTACCCCCATCCGAAATGGATAATTACATTGATCTTATCCTGATCAGCTTTGGCTTAATGTTTTTCTAATTGATATATTTTCACTTGATTGGTTCACCTAAAAACCTAAAATAAGCTGTAAAAACCATCCATGAATTGCTGAAAAACAATTGATTGATGCGATACATGTTTATATACTATATTCGGTATTTGGCCTTTTCCTATTGTTCAGATGCAATAAAATGGAGACCCAACTGTCAGATAATTGTGTTAAATGGAAAGGATTAATGAGTGGATAAGAATTTTGTGCCGACTCAGTGGTACTACGACTCATTTGGAGTTCCCGCCCCAACACCCAGCGCCCAGCACTCAACCCATCCACCCACAACCTCAACCCGCCCAAGTACAAGATGCAACTACCGCAACAACCGTGACAAGTACAACATTTGTGTCGCCTGCCTCGGCTTCAATCTGTCGCCCTCCGCCTGTGCCACGCAACCTTTGACACGCATAAATGGAACAGCTAGCCTCCCCAACCGCTTCAGTCCACTGCGTCCCCTATCCACCCAAACTCTCATGCACTTAAAAAAAATATATAATTTATATATAACTTATAAACTCTGTGTAGGGAGGTCTGTTCAAGCCTTTTTATTTGACCAGACACTATATCTACTTATAACCCATTTTTGTTTCGAGTGTTCTGACATGCCAATGCTGAGTGCAAGCTCTTTGCTATACGGTCTCCCGTCTACGGACCGCTGTCCTGGCCCGTAACCCGGACCCGGCACAAACAAAGATCGCAATTTGACTCTACACCACGGAGCTGTCAGCTGGCAGAGAGTGAAGGAAGATTGATTACCGCCATCGAATTGTTTGCCTTCATCCGATGGTGGTTGCGGAGAGGTCTGGCTGGAGGGGGAGCAGCCTGACAGCCGAGCCGAGCAGAGGATGTGCCCTGGGTGTCTGACTTCGATTGAATGGCATTGGAACGGAATCAAAAGAGTTGAGCTACCAAACACGATACTCCGGCTGTCATATGTAAACAACACTTGAAGTTTTTGTGGCAAAGGGTTAAATTTTAAAACAGAAATGCAAAGCTTTTGTTTAAAGCTGAAAATGGGTAGGCTTATGAGATTATGAAGAGTATAATAATATCAAATATGGCTTATGAAAATGTTTATTAGAGGGAAAATAAAATACCCTAATGTTTTTTATGAAAAAGAGGTATTCGACCTTCAATACCTTTTATTTCAAAGTCACATTTCGTTGTTCAGCTTTTCCAGGAACTCATCAATAAACTCCATCTGCTTGGAATTGAATTTGCGAGCATATTTCACGCAGGTCTCAAAGTTGGCCTCATCGTTTAGGCCTTTGTAGGCCATGGCTCGATACAGCCAAGCTCTTAGATTCTTCTCATCCAGCTTGTTTAGAACGAAATCGCAATCCACGATGCCTCGCTTGAATTTACCCAATCTGATGTTACATAATATTAATATTTAAAATATTTTATAATTGGCTAACATACTTGATATAGCAAAGAGCTCTATTTATATAAAGGATATGACTATCCCTGATATTTTCAATGCCTTCGGAGTACATCTGCATAGCTGTTTCATAATTCCCTCGACGATACTCTGCGTTTCCCAATCTTAAAATAAAAATCAATGAATATGATTAATAAATAGAATAATTAACGTACTTTCGAAAGTTCTGAGCCACGCGCTCCCTTTCCAAGCGCGCCTTGGAGCGTTCCTCCAGATTCATGTCCACCTGTCGCATGAAAGGGTATCTATCCTTTTGCCTATCCGCTGGGGTGAAGGTGGGACGCTTTGATTTATCCTTCTGTAAAGGTTCCTTTGCCGCCGAAGGATTCGATCCATTGGTACGTTCGGTTATGATAAAGTTTTCTTCAGATATAGACTTCGGTATGATGCTCGTTTTAACGGCTTCTTCAGTCTCTTCCTCCTCTCTGAATCAAAGGTAAAATATATTTATTTTTAAGTCAATTAAATACTTACTCTTTAGGCTTCTGAAGACTTTCAAGTATCTTCACAACCTCCTCAACTGCTGACTTTGCATCCAAGAAGCTTTCATCAATCTGTGGGTGTTGCAATGAATACATGATTTCAGTTAGAAAACAAAAGGATCCTAAAGGATTCAAGTAAATGTTTGTTTTCCATTTGCCGTTTGTATAGTTTGTTTATTCAAAATGTTTACCAGCTGAACAAACGCTTCCCGTGGCAACTAGGGGTTGTATTATTTATTGGCTCTAACCAACTGGTTGCCTAGCGATTCGGCAAGTGTATTTAAAGAAATACTTAAAACATATCGATAGATTGGCGGTTTGTGATTTGAAAACAGTATGGATTTTTTTGCATAATTTTTTGTTAGCTTACAAAAAGTTTATCGTGCTACAGGTTTTGTTTTTATTTTTTTATATTTTACCAGTCATTTGCGTTGAATCGTTTACATGATTACGGGTGTAGACAAACACACGCTGGCTGGTACTAACACTCGCTGATAGCCATATTCATACTCACGTTCACATTACTTTTCATTTAATCTCATATAATTTGTAAGATAAAGAAATGCACAAATGCATGCCAAGCTCAGCGTGGCTCAAAGTATCAATTATAGACTATAAAACATAATGGCATCTAATAATAGTAGAGTTGCAATCTCAACCGCTACCCTCAAAGCCCCTGTCCATCAAAACATTAACCAAACACATGGAAAAATGGAGGTCTCTTGGGGTTTAGAAGAGTATTAGTATAGAAAATTTATATATTATTTTAAAACTTAAAATTTCTCTAATATCTTAAAATTGTATAAATAAGTTTAAATATTTTTTAACCCTTAATAATCTGAATCTCCTTGAAAAATCTTTCTGCAAGTGGAACCTTCTTGTCCTTCTCCCTCACTCCTTGGCTCACCTGGAAGTGCATGTCGCTGGCACATTACCTGCATTCGCAGGAGTAGGACAGGAAGAGAGAGACAGGGAGGCAGGATAGCTGGTTGGTGAGAGCTGGGTGGCGGATATGTGTCTGTGTCGTGTGTGCCAAACATTTAGGAGCCAACCCATACACATATTCCGATACACACACTATCCCCAACCGGACATGGACATGCTTAAGCGCCAGGTTCGGTTGCACAAGGCGAGGGGTTGTCGGCGGTAAGGGGAGGAAACAAAGTGCACGGGAATAAATAATTGCAGTGCCGCAAAAGGAGCCTGAACTGGTTGTAGCACCATTCCTGCCAGCAAATGGACAAACGACAACGACACCAAATTGCTCACATGGCGCACCGCATTTTTTATTCCGCACGAAATTCGTTTGGGTTTCCGTTGGCTAGTCGGCTAAAGTCGGTAACGCTCCTTGTGGCAGCTCCTTGCCGCCTGGCGGCATCATCAGCATAGATTGCCATTTCGACGTAATTGTTATAAATGAATTTCACGTAATTTAATTATGGGTTTTAGACCGATGAAAAATATACCAACCAACGGGCCATAAATACGGCCCAACCCTACAGATGGGAGGTCACTTGCATATGCTGCCCATCAGCTGTTGATGAGAGGGTTGAGGACCTGATCGAATTACCCATGAAATGTGAACCCTTTCAAGCGGTGGGGGCTGACAAATAAAACTTATTCATATGAGAATGAATAGTATTTAAGTGATTTTAGTAAAATACGATTGTAAGTCTAGTCCATCTTACTTCCGGCACTACGAACCTTTTTCCTTCCAAATCATACCACCTTAAATAAGGGTAAAATAAATGCAAAAACCATGCAACAGATGCTTCAAAAAACATTACGGTCCACGACCCCAATTTCAAAAAACCCCTGACTTCGGAAGGTACAACAAAAATTTCATTGTACGCCCAAGAATTCTATTTTGGGGCTGGGATGATACCCCACCCACTCCCCTCTTCAGCGCAATTGGCATTCAAATTTTGAAGTGATTTTTTTCACGAATTCACAATCTTCCATGGAATACAAAATAAGAAGAGTTTCCTGTGCCTGCTGTTCACTATATATGCATATTTTTTGCGGACTAAAAACAGGACATCCCCAAGCCGGGCATATGTGGAATGAACGGAAAGTTTTTCGGGCGCTGCACGATTTGTTTATACGACAGGTGTTGGCCATATTGGTGGCGTTGAGGGACTAACACGTCTGTGAAATGTCATAACGTTTAAACGTGCCAAAAATATCCAAATTGAGCTCCCAAATCAGAGAAGTGGGTGGTGAAATGGTAGCACGGCAGCGGAAAATGAAGTTTGGAAAAAAATATTTTCATGAATTGATGCTTAACATATTTTTTGAGGAAGCAACTTTAGGCACTTTAACTAAATAAATAATTAAAAAGGAAGAAAAAATCATTTCAGTAGCTAAGAAACAGATTAGTATTAAAAAAACAACTTTTTTTTCCTTCAGAACGAGGAGGCGATGCTCCAGAAAAATTGACCAAAAATCTAAAAAATATTTCGTTGTGGGATTTTGATGCAGTTCGGTGGAGAATCGAACTATAAATCGTTTAAGGTATTTCTCTCAAGAATCAGATGACTTTTGGCAAAGATATAGCCTTCATTGTGGGCCATACAGAGTCCCCATAAGATTTCCACATTTTGAGGAGGATAGTACAGAAAATTTGACAAAAAATCTACAAAATATTTCGTTGTAGGATTTTGATGCAGTTCGGTGCAGAATCGAACTACAAATCGTTTAAGGTATTCCTCTCAAGAATCAGATGACTTTTCTCAAAGATATAGCCTTCTCTGTGGGCCATACAGAGTCCCCATACGATTTCCACATTTTGAGGGGGATAGTACAGAAAATTTGACAAAAAATCTAAAAAATATTTCGTTGTGGGATTTTGATGCAGTTTGGTGCAGAATCGAACTACAAATCGTTTAAGGTATTCCTCTGAAGAATCGGATGACTTTTGGCAAAGATATAGCCTTCATTGTGGGCCATACAGAGTCCCCATGCGTTTTCCACATTTTGAGGGGGATGGCACAGAAAATTTGACAAAAAATCTAAAAAATATTTCGTTGTGGGATTTTGATGCAGTTCGGTGCAGAATCGAACTACAAATCTTTTAAGGTATTCCTCACAAGAATCGGATGTCTTTTGGCAAAGATATTGCCATCTTTGTGGGCCTTACTGTGTCCCCATGCGTTTTCCACATTTTGAGGGGGATGGCACAGAAAATTTGACAAAAAATCTAAAAAATATTTCGTTGTGGGATTTTGATGCAGTTCGGTGCAGAATCGAACTACAAATCGTTTAAGGTATTCCTCTCAAGAATCAGATGACTTTTCTCAAAGATATAGCCTTCTCTGTGGGCCATACAGAGTCCCCATACGATTTCCACATTTTGAGGGGGATAGTACAGAAAATTTGACAAAAAATCTAAAAAATATTTCGTTGTGGGATTTTGATGCAGTTTGGTGCAGAATCGAACTACAAATCGTTTAAGGTATTCCTCTCAAGAATCAGATGACTTTTGGCAAAGATATAGCCATCTCTGTGGGCCTTACTGTGTCCCCATGCGTTTTCCACATTTTGAGGGGGATGGCACAGAAAATTTGACAAAAAATCTAAAAAATATTTCGTTGTGGGATTTTGATGCAGTTCGGTGCAGAATCGAACTACAAATCGTTTAAGGTATTCCTCTCAAGAATCAGATGACTTTTGGCAAAGATATAGCCTTCGTTGTGGGCCTTACTGTGTCCCCATGCGTTTTCCACATTTTGAGGGGGATGGCACAGAAAATTTGAAAAAAAATCTAAAAAATATTTCGTTGTGGGATTTTGATGCAGTTCGGTGCAGAATTAAACTACAAATCGTTTAAGGTATTCCTCTCAAGAATCAGATGGCTTTTGGCAAAGATATACCCATCTCTGTGGGCCTTACTGTGTCCCCATGCGTTTTCCACATTTTGAGGGGGATGATACAGAAAATTTGACAAAAAATCTAAAAAATATTTCGTTGTGGGATTTTGATGCAGTTCGGTGCAGAATCGAACTACAAATCGTTTAAGGTATTCCTCTCAAGAATCGTATAACTTTTGGCAAAGATATAGCAATCTCTGTGGGCCTTACTGTGTCCCCATGCGTTTTCCACATTTTGAGGGGGATAGTACAGAAAATTTGACAAAAAATCTAAAAAATATTTCGTTGTGGGATTTTGATGCAGTTCGGTGCAGAATCGAACTACAAATCGTTTAAGGTATTCCTCTCAAGAATCGTATAACTTTTGGCAAAGATATAGCAATCTCTGTGGGCCTTACTGTGTCCCCATGCGTTTTCCACATTTTGAGGGGATAGTACAGAAAATTTGACAAAAAATCTAAAAAATATTTCGTTGTGGGATTTTGATGCAGTTCGGTGCAGAATCGAACTACAAATCGTTTAAGGTATGCAAAGATAAAGCCATCTCTCTGGGCCTTACTGTGTCCCCATGCGTTTTCCACATTTTGAGGGGGATAGTACAGAAAATTGGACAAAAAATCTAAAAAATATTTCGTTGTAGGATTTTGATGCAGTTCGGAGCAGAATCGAACTACGAATCGTTTAAGGTATTCCTCTCAAGAATCGGATAACTTTTGGCAAAGATATAGCCATCTCTGTGGGCCTTACTGTGTCCCCATGCGTTTTGCCACATTTTGAGGGGGATAGTACAGAAAATTTGACAAAAAATCTAAAAAATATTTCGTTGTGGGATTTTGATGCAGTTTGGTGCAGAATCGAACTACAAATCGTTTAAGGTATTCCTCTGAAGAATCGGATGACTTTTGGCAAAGATATAGCCTTCATTGTGGGCCATACAGAGTCCCCATGCGTTTTCCACATTTTGAGGGGGATGGCACAGAAAATTTGACAAAAAATCTAAAAAATATTTCGTTGTGGGATTTTGATGCAGTTCGGTGCAGAATCGAACTACAAATCTTTTAAGGTATTCCTCACAAGAATCGGATGTCTTTTGGCAAAGATATTGCCATCTTTGTGGGCCTTACTGTGTCCCCATGCGTTTTCCACATTTTGAGGGAGATGGCACAGAAAATTTGACAAAAAATCTAAAAAATATTTCGTTGTGGGATTTTGATGCAGTTCGGTGCAGAATCGAACTACAAATCGTTTAAGGTATTCCTCTCAAGAATCAGATGACTTTTCTCAAAGATATAGCCTTCTCTGTGGGCCATACAGAGTCCCCATACGATTTCCACATTTTGAGGGGGATAGTACAGAAAATTTGACAAAAAATCTAAAAAATATTTCGTTGTGGGATTTTGATGCAGTTTGGTGCAGAATCGAACTACAAATCGTTTAAGGTATTCCTCTCAAGAATCAGATGACTTTTGTCAAAGATATAGCCTTCGTTGTGGGCCTTACTGTGTCCCCATGCGTTTTCCACATTTTGAGGGGGATGGCACAGAAAATTTGACAAAAAATCTAAAAAATATTTCGTTGTGGGATTTTGATGCAGTTCGGTGCAGAATCGAACTACAAATCTGTTAAGGTATTCCTCACAAGAATCGGATGTCTTTTGGCAAAGATATTGCCATCTTTGTGGGCCTTACTGTGTCCCCATGCGTTTTCCACATTTTGAAGGGGATCTTTCAGAAAAGCTTACAAAAAATCTAAAAAATATTTTGTTGCGGGATTTTGATGCAGATTGGTAGAGAATCGATCTAAAAATCGTTTGAAGTATTATGTTTTAGAATCGAATATTGGATCCAAAATGAAAAGATATAGCCTTCGCGGGAGGGCAATAGACAAATTTTGGACAAAAATTTGAATATTCTTAGCAAGGATATAAAAACTGTTAATTAACTCGAAGAGTTACCCGGCAAAAACCGGGCGGATTGTCCTGCCAAACCATTTCATTTGCACACAAAATACATTTCGCTCGGCTGTCGCAAGGATTTCCGAGCACTTGGGTGTCGCGTCCTGGCCGCGAATTCAAAATTCATTGCAAATGGCACGGGCTGTGGGATTGCGGCTTGTAAGCCAAAAGCGCCCAAAAGGCGATTAGCTATAAAAATTATAGATTCAATCTAATTACAAAACGCTGCGGTTGGCACAGGGGGTGTGGGGGTAGTTGGCAGGGCGGATGCCAAGTGAATATTTAATTTAATTAACAAGAAACAATTTGAAATGTTTTTCCAGCCCAGCCTCCGTTGCGGCTGCGGAATTTATTGTTATGACCAGGCCAAGACTGCGGCAATGTCATTGTCATCAAGGCAACAATATCCAGCTTCCAGCTTCCCGCCTCCGGCAAACGTACTCCGCAATCCAAAACTGCGGCTAATAAAATCGCAATGTTGCCGCCAAGTGAATGATTGAGCATGGGAATTGGCCAAACTGGATGCCAAACAATGGAAACAATCTGTGTGCTGTTCGACATGTTTATTACATTGGCATTTCGCGTAATTGAAGCTGGCCTGCGGAGAGTTGCTCACTTGCTCCTGCTGTTTGCTTTTTATGCACCTTTGATTAGCTGGCTCTGATTGCCCGGCGATTAGCCACGCCCACGCTTCCCGAATCAGGCATCTATATTCATTATGGCAGCAGCCGAAACACGCGGAACATGTGGAGGACATGCTCCAAGCAAACCAGATCCGAAGCGAACCGGACCACATGTCCGGAAATGTCAACAATGCGCATGAAAATTCCAAGGATCCACCCCTTAAGAAAGGACCTCCCCCTAGGCCCTGAGACTTTCACATGGATGCACTTGGAGAAAAGATTTAAAATATAAATTTTAATAAAATATTGAATGAGATGTTTTAATTTGAGAATTGTAGAGAAATTGTGTTTGGTTTTGGAAATTAAATATTTTGTATATCCCAAATTAAATAATATTTCTTCAAGTGCACTTTCAGCGGGTCCTTTGGCTGTGGCAAGTGCGAGCGACAATTTCCTCCCAGGGGAAGCAATTTGCCACACATCCACACCATCCGACCACACCACTGGGCCGGCATGGAGCGAAGGGATGGATTTCGGATGGCTGGTGGAAATTCCTTGGAGCTGAGTGTCGCATTTCCGCGCAGCAAGACGCTAGCCAGCCACCGCAGCCAGCAGCAAGTAATGTGTGCGGTTAAATGTCCATAAATCAAATCCTAACACTCCACCGCTCAAGATGACCAACCCAACCTGGACCGGCTAGCGAAGTCAGAGACCGAGAAACTGGGCCTGGCTACATATCCGCATCCGGAGCAGAAGGGAATGGGGCTGGGCCTGTCCGAGTTAATGCGGTTGACACTTTTCTCGGGCCCTAATAGATGGGCAATGCAATGGAAATTCCTCGACTTGACCTCAAGTCGCCCGCAATGGGACATTAAATGCAAAAGTGAAACCGAAGACAACTGGGACACACTGGCTAAATGGTAAAAATTAACTCTCTCTCTGGCTATTTTCCCTGTTCCACCCCATCCTGTTGGTTTCATTATTTGCCCAGCCAAGTGTCCACTTTGCAGGGGAGTGGAAAAGGGGATCTGGAAAGGATTGATGACGGGAGAAACTGTTACAAAAGTTGAGTCTGTTAGAGCTGAAAGTTTCCGAGGACTCAGAGAGAAGTTTGCAGTCCCTTGCTAAACTTTTAACTAGTTATTTTTCTATGAATATTGAATTTTTTTTTATTTTTCATTTATTTTATTATATAAGTTTATAACATGCATACATAGATTTAAAAAAATAGATAGGTTTTATCAATTATTTGGTTATCTTCATGATTGTAAGCCACTGAGATTGTTGGGAATTTTTGCGTCCAAATGCCAGAGACGTTCGCTTAGCTCAACTGAGATTAAACTTATAAACTTAAGCTTATTAAAGTAATAAAAATGTAAAATAAAAAGATTAATTTGTATAATTGTAGCCTGCGGCACAGGGGTTCACGTGCGAGATACTCAGCTTCCTGGACTTGGCTGTGGGTTCGCCCCATGAAAGATTCATTGAAGGAGCCGTGTGAACAGCGCTTGAGGGGATTTGGTTTTGGGCACTGGCTGACCAGGACTGGGTGGCCGTGGTGGACTTGGACCAAGCCTGGGCGGCAGCTTCCAGGTCCTGCTTGATGCTCTGCAATACCAGATCCACATTGTAGGAGTAATGTCCCGAACTCGCTCCGGAATTGGAGGATAATCCGGGGTTGGCAAGGCTTGTGGTGGGCGCTGTCGTTGTCTGAGCTAGATGCTCCAGAATCTCGCTGAGATCAGAGCTGGAGCACATACTGGTATTGTTGTTGGATGCACTGGTAGGCGCAGCTGGAGCCTTGATCTTGGCTGGCACATAAGCTGGCTGAGGAATCACTGGGGGAACAGCTGCTGTGGGACGCTTTTCTGCTGCAGCTCCCTCCCTGGGATCCTGGGAATAGGACATCAGCCGCTGCACTATTCCACGGTGAGCACTCTGCTCTGCTTGCGGCTGAGCCAGCTTGGCACTCGCCTTGGGCTCCCGGTGTCCTTGGATGTCCTTCTTGAACTTCATGCGCCTGTTCTGGAACCAGATCTTCACCTGGCGCTCGCACAGAGACAATCGCTGGGCAATCTCTATCCTCCGAGTCCTGTACAGGTACATGTTGCTCTTGAACTCGTTCTCCAGCTCCACCAACTGGACACTGGTGAAGGCAGTGCGGGATCGCTTCAACTTCACCCTCTGCGAGTCCTGGCTGGGCTGGGAGGGCAAGTTCTCGTCGGAGGACACTTGCTGCTGCTGCTGGTGATGAAGAAGCTGCTGCTGCGAGGAGTGATCATTGATGGTGGTGGGATTGGTGTTTATCTGGCTGTAGGTGGGCGGCAAGCTGATGGGATTTGTGGCGTGGTGATGGTGGCCATAAAGCAACTATAAAAACGGTCAAAATAATATTAATTGGCTTTTCAATTTAACCAAGTATCTCAGTACTTACATCGCTGTATTTGCCCATGGTTGGAGCTACCGGGTATTGGGCCACCTTGGGCTGGTGCACTGGATAGTAATGCATGACGGATGACATATCGTTCACTTCCTGATATGCTGATGCTGTCCACTGAGCTGTCAAAATTGAAATGATCTGCTGTCCTAAGCAAACACGGACCTTTATATACGTGTCCTTTAGGTAGAGGCCAAGGGGCGCAGGTCACGTCTGAAGTTCGGTTGCGAAAAAAATTTGCCTAAACCCGCGAGCCATAAATCCCTTCGTAGCTGGCGACTAGCCGACTGGCACCGCGACGACTAGCCAAGACTCCGGCCAAGGCGATGGGCCATCGAGAGGCTGGTTTGATCGCAATCCCTGACAGGATTTGGCGTTACGTGAGACAGTTCCCGGGGTCCTGGCGGAGTTAGAGTCTCGCCAGGTAGACAGGCGGATGATGATCGGAGATTCGCAGCGATTGTTGTCCAACTTGTAGCACCTGTTGCCAGGAGACTTGGTGGTGGCGGCGCTGAAAGTGAAACCGACCAGCGAGGCTGTTGTCGCGGCTTTTGGTCGCTCGACGTCCGCAATTATCCTCATAATGCTATGAAAGCAACGCTGCGCAAAAAGGATACTCTTCTGCTGGGTTTTATGCTCGATTTGGACCGTTTATGACTTTGTTTGTTGTCGCACAGCACCAGCAGCCACGATGCCTAGTAGGAGCCTACAGTCTCCGTCGTGGCGAATGCAAAAACCGTCGCGGTCCTTTGGTGCCTCAGACCCTTTGTCCTTTTGTGCTCAGTCCCAGGACTACGAAATTGTTCGCAAATTTTATTACTGGCGCTATCGGATTTGTTCCTTCTGGGAATCCGCTAAAAATAAGCTGGAACAAAGGAAAAGTCAGGGAAGGGAAATCTTATGGAATTTTTCGAAATATCTGGGGTACAGTTGAGGAGAAAAATTTACATAAATTTTAAATATTTTGTAGGAAGTTTTTTTTTGGAAGAAATAATATTGACATTTTCAAACTATGTTGTTGATGGAAAAATTATAAGAATTATTAAAAATTCTATAGACGTAAGAAAAGGTTTCTACAAGGGATTAATGATATAGTAATGTATGATTAAAAGATAGTTTATATCAGAAATATTTCTTCAGGTATTCATCTAAAAAATTGTATGAAATGTAAGAATGGTTTTATCAGGTTTTTCCCAGCACACAACCCATCGATAATCCACCTCTTAAAACGCGCCCATTTGTTCGCGCCAAGGAGCAAGATCAATAAAAGTTCCCGATATGGGAGAAACCCAATCAACATTCGTTCATATAGAGTTCGTTTTGGTTTTCTGGATTTTCCAAAATGTATATCAAAGAAAATAGAGGCAACAAGTTGCCTGCGGACGAGCGCGATCCAGAGCGCCCGTACAGTGCCTACCTAACTAGTCCGGATAGTCCAGGATGAGATAGAGATAGGGTCGGCAGGATCAGGTACTTACACAAACACAGGCAGCTGGCTCAGGAATTTTACGATTCGCGGCAATTCGCGGAAATATGGCGAATCATATTTTATGGACAGCATGTGTGAGTATGTGCTGCCATAAAGTGAGTTTTTAAATTCATAAGATTTTCGGGAAAACCAGCTACAGTTTTCTTTCATCCTAGACAGGGAGGAAAACCGATAGTGACTATTTTGGAAATCATATATTCATGTAGTACTTGTATTTCATGATTTACATAAAACTTATTCGTTATAACATTAAAGAGTGCACTTTTAAAATATGAAGCTTAAATAGATTTCAAAGCAACTAAAGTAGATATAAAATATATAATTTAATTCGTTCCACAGGCAATAAATAAATCACTGAATCTAGAACAAGTGGTCGGCACTTTTAGAAACAACTATTTGATCACAATTCTCGATCCAAGAACGTGACAATGTTGGATTGTGCCAGACTCTTTGGCATAGCATAGAAATTGAAAATATCTTATCGAGTATTATTTTTTAAATGTTCGATCTTTAAGAGGTAATCTAGTGTCTGATTACCCCCCAAGAGAAACATTTTACATTTCGATTAGTACAGTTTTTAGCTATGCCAAATTGTTCCAGGCAGGACTTACTTGCTGGCTTGAAGTTAAAATTCAAAAATAATTTTCCCTGGAATACGTTCAAGCCCATTAAAGCCTCCACTATATCTGACTGAGTATTCCTGGGCTTTATTGGAACACCCAGCCAGAAGCTGTGGAGGCAAAGAACGTATTGCAGGGAAAATTTCAATCTAAATAGAGTTATTACTAAAAGGATGCTTTGAAAACCAGATGGCTTGCCTAATATGCTAGCACATAGAACATCACTAAGGACAATATACAATTTTCTTACGACTAGGTCTAACTTACTACGCGTAGATATCTACAATCACTTGGTTCTTTGTACAATCAGGATTAACTTAGCATAACTAGCATAACTCTCTGGGACGACAGCCGCTCGTCCAGGCCTAGTTAAAGCAGTAGGCGAACTGCGTGTTGCCTGCGGCGTTACGATGCGGATTATACGCTTGCATTATCGTATCCATCGTGCATTGATATTGATTCGATTCGGCCATGGTCACGCCCCCACCCATCCCCAGCGGTGGTGGCGGTGGCGCTTGCGCGGGCGAAAGTTTGCCAAACTTGGCAAAGGCTGTGCCACGAATTCCGGTTCCTGACAAAGCTCTTAGTCCGGGGCTCAGTTCGTCGCTGCTGCCATCGTCGCAGCTCTTGTCCAGACCCTTCAAAGGCTCCAAGATCTGGCGACATTGAAAACGTTTCGCTGAGGATCAAGGCTTTAGAAAAGAATGCATATCCTCACCTGTAGCGTCGTCTTTTTGCTCGTTCCATCGTCCATGTCGTCGGCCGCCTCCGTCTCGCCAACGGCTGTGGCGCACGGTCCGCCGATGCCGATGCCACACAGACTGGGACTCTCGTCATTCTTGGGTGTTAATGGCTCATAGACCTCGGAGCCAGAGCCGGGCGAGGCAGCGCCGCGAGCTACGGCAACAGCAGTGGCGCCAGACAGAGCCGAGCGCATATAGTACGAGCTGTTGAAGTTGTAATCGGCCTCCGGTTCGTCCTTCACCAGGACACGGCAGGCGCTGGCTGGCTTTTGAGGGAAGTCAAAGTGCTGGTACTGTTGTTGCTGTGCCGCTGCCTGTTGCTGCTGTTGTTGTTGTTGCTGCTGCTGCTGTTGCATGTGGAGCGGTCCATGGTTGCTGTGATGGTGCAACTGTTGCTGATGGTGATGGTGCTGCTGTTGCTGTGCTTGATGCTGAAGCTGCTGCGGAAAGAACTGGCCCCCATTGGGTGCTCCACCGTTCGCTGGATTTTGGTACTGGGCGTGCATGTGGCGATGCCCACTGGCCTGTCCCTGACCATGCACATGCGTTCCATTGTAGTTGTAGTAGGCGTTGAACGACTCGCTGTAATGCTCCACCATGTTCGCCGTGGGCGTGGAGGGAGTGGGTGAGGGTGTCAGGGCGTTGGGCGTGGCTCCACCGCCTAAACTAAGTGTCTGCAAGCTAGGCGGATCTCCGTCCGCCTGCTTCATGCCCGGCGAGAGGGGCATGCCCTCGTAGGACTGGTCCTTGTGCTGATCCGATTGGATTTTGTGACGGCGCCGTCTGTTCTTGAACCAGATCTTCACTTGGGCCGTGCCCAGGGCCAACTTGGCCGACAGGTCAGCCAGCCGGGGAGCGGTGAGGTAGCGTCCCTGCAGGAAGTGCTGCTCCAGCTCAGCGATCTGGGAGCTGGTGAAGGTGGTGCGGGTACGTCGTGGTCGCCGCATCACCAGGGAGTCGGGCAGTTCCTCTGCGGGGTACATGTCTGGTGAATGGGATATAGGATTCTGGATGCGTTACGAGCTCACCTGGCTTGGCCATCTGGTTGGGCAGATAGGGACGTATATAGTTGTAGTTTATGGCACCCGTCCGCTCATCGAATAGCTTCGGAGGATCATAGGTTACACTCGCACCGCTGAAACCCAAGGATGAACTCACCAAGTCGAAGGGATTCCGGAATTGGGGCGGCAACTGTAGTTGCGGATGCTGGTGCGGATGCGAATGAGGGTGCGGATGTGGATGCGAGTGGGGATGCGGGTGCGAGTGGGGGTGTGCATGTGTGTGCGGCAGCGGGTGATGGTAAAAGTTTTGATCAGGTGGCGGTTGCGCCATTTTCCCCGTAAAGCTCCGCCCGCCGCTTTTTCTCAGCACTTTTCAGTCAGCGCCTCGCTGGGGGAAGTAGCCAGGGGCCAGATAAGTTGGTTTTAACTTGCTTTTTGTAACCGGTTACGTTGGAGGAGTTCGCGAACCTATTTCGCCAACATTTTGCGTTCCTCTTGCTGTGCATCTTCATGGTGCCGTTATTCGAAGGGCTGACTAATTAATTGTAGAGATGCGACAAAAAAACAAAAGATCGATAAGGTTTAACTAATATAACATATACATTTTTCTAATAATACTCGGTCCTTAAGAACTACTAGCTTTCTAAACATCCTTAAATAAAGCTGTTAATCATTATTCTTACTTTTCATTGACTCTCGTGGTTTGAGACTGGGAAGTTCTTTAAAAACTCCTGTGCGCGGTAAACCAGTTATTATATTACAAATTATTTCTAGACGCTATATTTTTAGAAAAAGTTAAGTAAATATGTCTGTAATATTCCCGAAGAAAAAACTTTAAAATCTTTTGAATTTAAATGGGCGCCAACCCATTGAACAGAAAATAATTAACATTGCTGGGAATAAACATATCAAGTTTTATAAATAATATTCAAAGGCTTTAAGTAGATTAATTGATTTTAAAAATAAAATATTTTGACTTATAACGAATTTTCTATTTTCAAATATTTTCGTTGACCAACATTGAAATTTCAACCTCGACTTTCAACATTGCCAGACAGATAAGAAAGAAGTTGCCATGCACTTTTTAACTACCATTAAATAATATTTTTTACTATAATTGAAAATAATATTTGCCTAAATTGAACAAAAACTCGTTTTCTGCAGCCAGAAGCTGCGCTAATATGTTCTAAATAGATTTTTAAAAAATGAGTAATAACTCGCATAGCAGGTGGCGTCACTGTAAGAAAGCGCCCTCTAGCGCAATGGGCTAAAACTGTTTCTGGCGCTCTGGCCAATGTTTTTCAGTGCTGCCCATCAAACCGCTAAATCGAAAGACGCGCTATTTTTGAAATATATATTCTTAACAAATATGTTATTTTCATACAAAAAAGATAAATCTTCAAAGCTCAACCATTTATATCCAGTTTCGTAATTTAATATTTTAACTATCTTTAAAGAATATTTTATATTGAAGGATACTATTATTAGATGCTTGATTAACAAATGATTAACGCAATCCTAAATTTTTGTCTTCGGCTAAAAAAATAAAACCTAAGATCTATTCATTTCAGAAACTATTCCAAAAGTTGTGTTGAAAAAATGCATGCCACCCTAGTCCCCCTTTATCAATTAATTTTTTTAACTAACATAAGTGAAATATTTTAATGACATTTACCGAATAATTGTCGTGTTGACTCTTGGGATCTGGTGTCCGCTGTTGCTGCCAACTGGCAACAAAAGTCAATTCAGATACTCCAGAACTGGGCAAGGAGCAGAGTCATCGGGCCAGGCATCCAGCCAAAAGGCAAACAAAAATACGGGTACATAGCTAAAGCCAAAGGATACACAAAAGGATACAGTGGTTTCTCTAAGGAATGTAAGTTTTCTAAGCTTAAAAAATCATTCATTCTATCTTTAAAATAAAAAAACTATTCTTTATAATTCTTGAATCAAAAATATCCTGAGATAAACTCTAAAATATTCGTTATCCTTTTTTAAGGAGACCACTGTAAGCATACAAATACCCAGTAGGCACATACAAGCATACTCTGGGCCACAAATTCACACGCAGTGTGTGACAAAGGACTTCGTTTCAGTCGCTTCGGTCCTGGTCCTGCTCCTGCTGCTGCCCCCTCCCCTCACCCCTCGGGCGCTCTGTGTGCCGCTGCCGAAGCGAAACACCCAAAGAGTCACTGACAGAAACAGGATTCGGGTAATAAATTACAAAATTTGACATTTTCTGTTTTGGATCCGCTTGCTCCTGAATGTGAGCAGCAGCACTCGCTCTATCGCTCTCTATCGCACACTTTATATCCATCTCTTTCGTTCGGTGTGTGTCCAGTTTGGACCAGCCGGGCCAAGTCGACCGTTGCGTTCGAGTGCATAAAGCAGCCAGGACCAGGGCCAGGGCCAGAGACAGGACCCGGACCCGGTCCCGGACCCAAAAAGGCTTCGACGCTATGAGGATAATGATGGTGATGATGATGATGATGACGATGATTGTGCTGGGATGCAACTAACGCAAGGATAACCCACTGACGACGGCGGAAGAGAGACAGCAGGAGCGAGACTCCCGAATAGAAGCGCCCTATGAGGTCCGCAGATAGTTAACTGGAAATTTATTATTTTACACAATTTACAATTATCTGATTCGAATGTGCACTCGGAGACCCAGAAGGAGAGGCAGGAAGGACGACAGATGCAGCTGCCTCCCATGGGAAATGCCTCATTTTCAGCAGAAGTCACCGAGACGGTTTAAGATGTGATTTAATTTTCCCAAAAACTGTGGTATAGTTTTCGTTAGTTTTAAGGGGAATCGCTCTGTCAGACACTAGCCATTGTCATCAATCATTTGCCACAGCTAAGCTGGGGTTAACCTCAAAGGGCAGAGGGTGAGACTTGTCGGTCCAGGCCCGATCAGAAGTCAAGTTTTGAAAATATAGAAATTAATTTTCAGGGGGTCCAAGAATTTTTCAATTAGTCCAATGATTTAAAGACCTATATCTATTGTAGACCTATTCTATTAAATTATGATGCTCTATGACGTGCCTACCCACCTTCCACAACCGTTTAAAGTATATCCTTATCTGTCAGCTTAAAGTCCTTTAAAGTCCCTGGCATTCTCCCCATAAAAATATCCCAGCATGGCTGATTTCTCACCCGTCTGGCTTTGCAACCCCCTTTTGCACCAATGTGGTTTTCACGCACGCGCCCCTGTTCGTGCGATGAAAGGAGATAGCCAGCTCGTCCTTGGATCGAGGCTGGATTTCCAGAGCGAGCATAGGTTATTCCAGAGTCCAGAATCCAGAGCCCGGAGTCCGAAAAACCAGGAACCAGGTCTGTCGTGGTTGTTGCTTTTGTTTCCTGGCAGCGCGCCATGCCATAAATCATTCGCTTCGAATTTCGCTTCGCCTCCTCACCCCGGCGACCTTCCACGAACCCTTAAACGTTTTATGGCCGAATGGCGGCACAAATTTGAATTTGAATTTCGCGCACGGACTTTCAGTTGTCCCGCGGCCGTATTCGCCAGTGCTTTGTTTTTGTACCGGAGCGCTTATCTAGTGGGAGGAGGGAGGAGGGGTCATCCGAGGGTGCATCCGAGCAGTGTCCAGGGGACGGGACAGGGGTACTGCGAGCAAAACAAATCAATTAAAGAGGATAAGACGAGTGCATTGATAAGTGAGAAGAAGCCAAAGTCAAACTCACGCACAAGTGAACGAACACAAGATTTAAATGCAAACATAATGATACTGATGCCTGGGATCGGGCATGGGCCCAGGCGACAAAGTAAATAAGCGAGGGGCGATAAGATCCAAAACGTCGATGACTTCGGCTTTGCAACCTACACTGTGAGAAATCGTAAGAATTACACGAAAAGATATATAAAGATACTCATGATTTGTCATGGAAGTAAATCCTATTTTTTTGAGTATACCTGAGCAAGAAAACATCCGAGGTCTAGACAGGTCAATCGATCATCGTGATGGCTATCTATCACTTCTTGAAGTGTAGGATTTTCGGGGCTCTTCTTGGGACTGGTCTTCCGGAGATAACGAGCGGTCGACGTCGGCGCGCCAGCAGAGCGGCAGCGGCAGCAATGCGCCGGCAGAGGGACGGACTTTTGAGCCCAGCTCTCAGTCGAGCTCGGAACGCGGAGTGAAGCGCATTGAACCTGCCACAGAGACTTGCAACGAAGAGGAGACCCCCCTGGGAAGATAATCAAAGAGAGAACAAGGGACATCGACACCCACCTTATCCTGTAATTACACTGAAAAATATAATATAGATTATCAGTTATTGAACTCGATTTGTTTTCTATAAGAAAGTGTCGGTTTTGTTTATATTTTGTGTGAAATTCAAGAAGAATCTCTTTAAACCTGTCTTTCAGTAAAGCCCCATGTCGAACCTGCGGCTTTATATCGGCCTGATCCTGGCCCTGGCGATCAGCCTGGAACCGGCCTTTGGAGCACCCGTCATCAGCCAGATCAGCAAAGATGTGGTGGCCAGCGTCGGCGACAGTGTGGAGTTCAACTGCACCGTGGAGCAGGTTGGCCAGCTCGCGGTCAGCTGGTACAAGCTCCCATCCGGACAAAGGGGTCAAGAGCCCATGGCGCTCTCCCTGCGAAACATACTGAGTCTTCCGGATAATCGATACAATCTCACGGTGATCGAAGGCCCGACTTCCGGAAGTGCCACCTACTCGTTCCGCATCCAGAAGATAGAGGCGAACGACGCGGGACCGTACGAGTGCCAGGTGCTTGTGTCGGTCAACGAGAAGGTGACCAAGAAGCTGAACCTGCAGATTAAGACTCCACCCGTCATAGCGGAGACCACCCCGAAGAGCACCCTGGTCACGGAGGGTCAGAATCTGGAGCTGACCTGTCATGCCAATGGCTTCCCCAAGCCCACCATCTCCTGGGCCCGCGAGCACAACGGTGTGATGCCGGCTGGGGGACATGTCTTGTCGGAGCCGACGCTCCGGATCAAGTCGGTGCATCGCTTGGACCGTGGCGGATACTACTGCATTGCTGAGAACGGAGAGGGCCAGCCGGACAAGAGGTTGGTCCGTGTGGAGGTGGAGTTCCGTCCGCAGATCGGCGTGCAGAGACCCAAGGTGGCGCAGATGCTGTCCCACTCCGTGGAACTGGAGTGCTCCGTGCAGGGCTATCCGGCTCCGATTGTCGTGTGGCATCGCAACGGAGTCCAAATCCAATCCAGCCGGCAGCACGAGGTCGCCAACACTGCCTCCACTTCGGAGACCACCACCTCGGTGCTGCGGATCGCCAGCGTGTCGGAGGAAGACTTTGGGGACTATTACTGCAACGCCACCAATAAATTGGGCCACGCCGATGCTCGGCTGCATCTCTACCAGACCGTCATCCCCGTGCCATCACTTTCGTAGTTAAGATTCGCCAATTCAGTTCCCATTCCCATATCCATCCCCATTCCCATTCCCACGAAATAAGACTTGAACTCTTACTTTAGCATCTCGTTTCGCTTTTTCGGCAATTACCCGGCCCGGATGCGGCCAGTGTTTATATTATTAATGATTCATTCAATTAGCTCCCATTCAGACTCTCTTATTTTCGGAGACACTCGAGATCGAGCGACTGCTTGTGCCTTAAGAATTTTGCTCTGCATCCGTCGGACTATGTACAACACTGATTTTATACGCCTAAGTAAATAATGTTCTCTGATAAAGTATAATCGGTTTTTTCCTATATGGTGGGTGAATATTTCAGGAGGAGATTGGGCAGCTGTAGCTGAGGCTTAAATGTTTCATACAAAGAAAGCCTAAAACGTTGTATATTAAAGGTTATCTAGACCACTGCTACTAAATGTAAACGCTTTATAAAATCTCTTTAAGCCTCCCATCTAATCTTTTAATGCCTCACCTTGACCCCCAAATGGCCATTTAAGCCAAAGTTTGTAGCCAAACAGTTAATACTTGTACTGGCTAAAGTCATTTGCCAAAAAGTTAACTGAGCCCGCTCAAAGTGCCACAACATTTAACTCTTCAATCATGGTTAAAAAATGGCAGTCAGTTCACCTCTTGACGCAAGCACACACTCACATGTCAGGACGGGGGGCTATCCAGGGCTGGATCCTTGGGCTGACATGGGTGCCAGTGTTGCTAGCCCAAGGGGGGGGTGCGTCTGTCCTTCCGAGAAGTGAACCCGAAAGTAAGTTGTTCATTGTAATTGAGAAAAATGCGAGGCATTTGTAAGGCGGCCCAACGAGTTGGGTCTGCCACTGACACAACAACTATTTAAGTATGTGTGTGGGGATGCTGGTGCGGTTTTGAGTGGGTGGCATGTCCCGAAGGACGAAGAACTCCATTATGGCCAGGACACATTAGTTTAGCCAAAACCCCAGGCCGACTCATCGCTCACTAAAATCAACACTTGCTAATGACTTAATTGTTTCCATTAGAAACTCGTTGCTAGAATACATTTGGCAAATTTTTCATCTCCGCTCTTTTTTGCACATGTCCTGTCCCTGGTCCCCATTTCCCCGTCCTGAACCATCTCTACTCTAACTAAACGAAATCCTGGCTAAATGTCTGTCTTTATTGTAATTGGTATTGTTGCTGCCGGTCGCACGCATTCGAGCCCGAAGTCCAGGGACAACACGTGCGTCCTCGTCCGTTTCTCCCAGCCCAGTCCCATCCTGGGGATCCTTTGGCAAGAACATCATTTCATTGTCTGACCCGGAGCCGGAGGATGAGGCTGCTGCGACCCAACATGGACGTCGACGTGACTTTTATTGATTTTCGGCCAGAAACACCCCTGAGAGAGAGTGCGGCAAAAGTCGATTGGAACGCAAGCTGTGAGACCCGAAATCTCCGTGAGATTTAAGGGTGGAAATCGTGCTGCACACATGGACCTTGCCACCACCTTGCCTCATAAAATGGCAACAGTACGTACTGGCTAAAGAGCCACGGGCAGTACTCAAGAGCAGGCCGTGGACTGAGTTGCTACTTCGTATGCAGTTTCCAGAAGGATGGAGCTTCATTCGATTTGGCGCCTGCGCAGAAGGTATTTTTGTTTACCTTTGGACCAGTGCTGACGGTTTGGACAAGGTTTTTTTTTGAAAATTTTGAATACATATTCGTTAATTTCCTTAAATAAAATACCTAAAAAAAAATATAAATTACAGAAGAATTTTATAGATTTCAAAAGACACATTATAAGCATTATTGGAGCTCTAAAAAGTTATATAGAGATCCAAAACTATAACCAGATACTCCCAAGTTACTCTTATTTGGAATCCTTTTTCCTGTCTATGAAAGTGCGACATCACTGCCTTGGTCTTGCACTTTTGTTGGATGCTGAGCGTTGGAACCTGGAAAACGATTCCGCCAACAATTGTTGGCTTCCAAAACGAGCCGCCTCCACAGGCAAGCGCTCATTCGACTGGGATCTTTTGGCCAGGATGCTGGGGCCCGGAGCCGGCGGCTCACAGACCTGGTTTCCCACTATTTTTCCACCGCCTGGCCGACGAACGGCCATCGGTTGTAAACAAAGGCAGTGGTGTTGGTTTTACGAGTTGATGATGGCTGATGATGATGCTCTGTGTTGTGACTGCTGGAGATGCAATGAAGGACCAAGAACTGTCATCACAATAAAACGCGGGCAGCGGGACGTGAAATTTGATTGGGTGAGTATCTCGTCTGAAGATTTGATAGAACGACCTCCCCCCCACAAAGTGTGTCCTGATGTGAAGTGAACATTTGCCGACTTTAATGTCCTGCTGACGATGTGTACTTGCTTGTAGTTTGGATTGGCGCTCTATTAAGAATATTAAAAAGCTATCAACAGTAATGTGAAGTGAAACATATTCATTGATTATTAACTAATTACCCAGGTAATCATGGCAATTAAATAAATGTGTTAAAGTGTGTTTAATATTGACGAAATGCCAAGACCATTTGCAAACATTTGGCGAGTGAATTTTTGGCATTGTGCCAGGGTAAATTGCCAAGAACCAACTACGTAGTTGGGAATATTAAATAAAAAAGCTAAGAAGCAAGGTATCTAGACTTGATAAGAAATACCTAATTCCTGGGAAATATTAATATTTTAAAAGGATTAAGCCATGATTTGAATATGAAATGATGGTTAATGTTTTCATTTTAAAGTTCTATGAATTTCAAATAAAGAATTCTCTTCAAGCATAAGCGTACCTCTTAGTTGATTTTTCATTTTATAATTTATTAAAAAATCATAAAAATCTCATAGTTATTACCTCAACACTGTATAGTACAATTGTTCCAATCTGAGTACCTTATAAATCAAATTCTTCCAATCTTTAGATACATTCATATTCCCAAAACCCCTAGAGAGTCTTAAAATATTTTCAGAAATCTTTGTAAAATTGTTCTTTTTCAAAACTAACTAGATAAACTATATTAAATGATAATAATTTATCATTGTGGCAAATTCTTGCATTATTTTGTACCAACAATGTCCCTGTCGAGGATCCTCATCAAGCAGTGCACTGCTTACCCTAGAACTGCTTAAGAGACAGCGCATATCCCTCCTTATACCATTATGCCCCAATTATTGATGTCTTATTATAATTATTCTGTGGGCGGGCGGGCTTTTCTTTACCAGGATGAGGTCGGAACAGATGCAAATGAATGAGTGCCACGCCCACAATCAGATAATTATGAGCATGTACGCTGTTGCACGGCCATAAGTAATTGCATTGTAATTAATGCTGGCACGCCGCTCTCTGTTTGTAAAGATAAATTAGTAAATGAATTATCGCTGGCAATAGTGGGGCATTAATTGAAGTCTCGGGCGCTTGATTTATGACTCGCGGGCAATTTATGGACGAATGCATAACCATTTTGCCAATATCCGTTAACGACCGAGGACGGACTACCGCCAGAGATGCACGAGTGGAAAAATGGAAAATGGCAAACGGCAAATGCAAATGGGGGAAAACTCTGCAATAAATAATAATTTAAATTTTTCATGGGCCGGGCATAAAAACGAATTAGCCTCGTTGTTTGCCTTAAAGCCAAATATTTACGAGGATGCGTATGGGTGGTGGTATATGTGGCAAGATGTTGAAAGATAGAACTGGTACTAGGGCATTACTTTTTTGTTTATTAATTTTTACATTATTTTCTATTATTTCCTTAAAGTTTAATATTCGGCATTTTTCTCAGTGCTGTTGAGTGTGAGTGACAAGATTGCATGGCATTCGAGTCCCTACGGATAGGGCTGGTGGGATTTCGGTCGCTTGTTTGTTGCCTGTCATTAATCCCTTCATGTGGAGACAAATGCAAACTGCTGCCGCCCCCATACTGCCCCAACGCCTGCTGCTGGTGCGGTTGCGGTGCGTGTTCAAATAATAAATTTAACTAATTGCCAGAGCGATTGGCCAAACAAACAAAAGGAGTAGAGCCAGAATGGTGATGGCCATTTGCATTGGCAAGGATATGCATATCGCTTCGGCAGTCTCTAATCTTCTGCAGGATAACTTCTGTTGCCCCAAAACTTTCGAAACGGGGGGGGCGTGGCCGATGTCAAAGTCAGGCGGGAGTGGAAAATGGATTGAAAGAGTTTTCCTTTGGCTTAACTCGGGGATTAGGCAGACTACTTTCAATGATTCATGGAGGACGGAGGAACGAATTTGGTATTTAGTCAAGTGGGGGATTATACATTGTATATTGATTGGCTCAGATAAAGTTTATTAAATTTGGCCAGGTTAGGGGTGGCCCCTGCTGGTAAGCCAAGTTAACAAACTATTATCTAAAGTAAGCTTGTTGTCTCGACTTTCTGGATATCTTTCAAAAGAGTTATATCAAACATTTGGTTACTTTTAAACAAATTACATTGGGGGGAGCACTTCAAGCGGAATGAGGACAAGTAGTCCTGCCCGAAACCACTGCAGAGCGGCTTAAATGGGATCCGCTTTTTACGGATTTCCATGCTGGCCTTGCGCCAAAAATGTGTAACGCATTTCGCCAGCATTCGCATTCGCATTCACGGGAATTTGTGTTTTTTGTGTCCCTCTGTCAGATGGGCCCCATCTGGTGGCCACGCCCCGCAAAAAAAAAAACCAAGGGAATATCTGGAAACCAGCTCGATGCGTCGTTTTAATATTTCGACCAATTTAGATAACTGTTTCCATTTGCAATTAAAATGCAAAATGCAGATACAGATACGGGTGCTCGAAACTCACAGTTGCAAATGCATGCGGAGCGCGTTTGGCCGTTAAAAAATTCTGTGCCTGAAACTGAAATTAAAACTTTTCCTTGACGACCGACCATGCTGGTAGCCGGGAGGCGTGGTCGTGTGGCAGTGTGGCAGATAGCTGTCTGCACTTATCTCAGGCAACTTTGATATCACGTTCGCTTCTGGTCGCCCCAACTTCGCCGCTCTTTTGTTGAAAATTAAAAACGAAATAAAATTAAAATAAAAAAAGGACACTCGCAGCGGAGAAAAAAGAAAAACAATGAAGAAAGGCAGCCACAGCGCGACGCATTTGCATGTTAAAAGTTTTCGCACTGCTGGCACTTTGCTAGCCGCCCATTTGGGTGTCGCTGCCACTGATGTGTTCAGTGGTTTGGTGGTTCCTTTTCTTTTGGCAACTTCTGGCGGAAGTTCTGGGCCACCGCCATTTCTGTGCGAGAGGACACCGCCGCAGGATGGTCCAGGAAGGGGAAACAGTGCAGACGGTTTTGGTTT